ATCTGTGGAGCTGGAAGCTGAGAACTGGCGACTTTGTAGTACAACTTGAGTACGCGGAGTATGAAGATGAGAACTGGCCACTTTCTAGTACAACTTTAGTACGCGGAGCAATCTGTGGAGCTGGAAGCTGAGAACTGGCAACTTTGTAGTACAACTTGAGTACGCGGAGTATCTGGGGAGCTGGAAGCTGAGAACTGGCGACTTTGTAGTACAACTTTAGTACGCGGAGTATCTGGGGAGCTGGAAAATGAGAACTGGCAACGTTCTAGTACAACTTTAGTACGCGGAGTATCTGGGGAGCTGGAAGATGAGAACTGGCGACTTTGTAGTACAACTTTAGTACGCGGCTGAGTCATCTCTCGCGGCTGCTCTGGCGCCCCTGCAGCTGAGTCATGTCTCCCGACCACCCGGCTCTCTTGAGAGGTTGACAAATTTTAGCTACTTTGCTCACTCATAAGTGGCTGCCACAAAAGAGTCATCGTGACGTTAGTATATGTGTACTTCACCTTCATGACAAACGATGTTCGCTTGGAATACACGAGTCGCTTGTCATGATCGTGACGTCGTTTATTCTCAGGTCGCCCTGTTCGTGGAAACTTCAGTGTGAAATGTACGTTCTTCAGTTCTATTTGAACCTCTTCAGCGTTGTACTTGCACAACTAAGGTTGACGTTGCGCTGCCGTTGCGTCGACGCATCTACGTCTACGCCCCCTCACCTCTCTACATTTACATCTTCACACGCTCACATCCGCAGATCTACCTCTTCACCTCACCACACCCACACATCTGCACATCTATATCACATCTGTACATTCACACTGTCGCTCCTTCACATCTGTCCTGTCTTTCTTTCTTTCTACATATCTTTTCTCTCGTCTCTGTGCATTTACATCTTCGCACGCTCACATCCACAGATCTACCTCTCCACCTCCATGCATCTACAGATCTATATCGCACCTGCACATCCACACTGTCACTCCTTCACATCCACCCTCTCTTTCTCTCTTTCTGTACATCTTTTCGACAGTGCTGGACAATTACATGTCTCGCTCTCGGGCCAACCGTCGTCTAGTTAAACAACAGTTGGGCATGTATGTTTGGGACTTTATGCTCAATAACATTCATCGCTCATGTCCGGATACTTGCAGGACACTTTTCTACCAAGGGGTAGCTCATAGTTTGGTTACAAATCCTTGGTCACATTCCTTTTGGTTCCCATGCTGTCCAGGACAAATACGAAGCGTCCCTGAACATGCCCAGCAAGCATTGGCATTCAACACCATGCACCTGTGGCAGCTCTTGTTGCTTGTGTTGAACTGACAGTTTCTGACCAAGTGCCAACGAAGTTTGCCATAAGGTCACCAGCCCACAGCACCTCCCCAACCCACAAGCTGCTCAAAACATGGGGTCTGCGCCAATCATGTAGAACCGGCCAACTGCCAGTAAAAGCGCACTGTGTCCACATGCCCGGAAACCAAACGCAAATAGGCAGCACAACAAGAATTCCAGTCCAAATCAACAACAAAACCTCTCATAACAGCTGGATGATCAAACATCTTCAAGCCACCAGAGAAACCTCTGGAAACAAGAGCCTGAACATATTTTTCAAAACATGCAACAACCAGAACAGGTTAAACCAAATACAGAGGAAATGAATCACGTACAGAAATTCACCGCGCAATTCTGGCATAGCTGGGGTGCAACACTTCATGCTAATTGTACTTGTTGAAGCCAGCCGATTATGCCCAGTCATGTCAACCAAAAACACATTTGGCATTTGAGACAGGCTTAGAGGACGGGGAAAGATGAGTATGATTGAACAATCCCACGCGCCAAATTCAGCAGACATAGCTCAGAAAGAAAACAAAGTGTTATCCACACATTTTGGTGCCGAACTACACATTGATCCAAATTGGGAACTGCTCAGCTTATAGTCTATTGCCAAGTGACAGGTGAAGCCCGAAAGATGCACTGTGTTGTATTTTCCTATGATAATTATAATCATATCTTCGATTCACGATGGTTTTGGAAGTTCGTTTGTTAGTTTCACAAAACAATTCGGTATTTACAGACAACCCTTGAGGTGCTGACCTTATTGAAACCCACAGACTGGCATGTTTATAGAACTGTTTACTAGTCGCACATCCTTTCAGATGATCTTTGGTCCCTTGAGGTTTCCTCATTTATGTTTCTATGCATGTTTTAAACATCTTGAAACTATACAGACTATACAGCATACACACAATCATACACAGGTTACCCTGGAGAAAGCCGGCATTGGCAACACACTATCAAAGCAACTGTTTTTTTGATAATTTTGCCGTTGGTTTTAGGATGTTTTAGGGATGTGTAGTGCAAATGTCCAGCAACAAACGTTTGAACAGATGGCCGTAGATGTCTTAGATTTGGGATGAATTTAACTTTGAACCTTGGATGACGCTAGCAATGTCCTACAACACAATCCTCATGTTGGTTCGCATGTATTTCTCGTTGTGCACACTTGAGGTTTTGGAGTTCCAATGGATGCGAGGGTCTTGGCAAGTCTTGAGAGCCTTATGTCGAGTCTAGCCAACTTTGGCCGTTGAGGTTCGAACATGGCCCAAGCTTGTGATTGTCAGCCCGGACAATCAGATAAAGTGCGCCGATGCGAAAACAGTATTCAAACGTGTTCAAGAGTGCTAACAGTTGCAATTAAGATTGTCATCGTTCTGTCATTTGGACGCTTCACAGTTGCACAGCACCTGTGCCACACGCAAGTCTCCAAATCTCAGAGTCCTTGCCAGGTCGTCGGTGCACCTGACAAGACGCCACTCCCAATATGGCTTGCCACAATTTCCAATGCGCCATTCAGCCTCACAAATGACCCAAACAGACCCAGCTTTCAAGACTCCTGAGAAAAGAAGATCCGTTGAAAGTGAATCCAACGCAACGGATTTCAAGAAGAAAGTGTAGAATTTTGCATGCCCTTGCATCCCTGGCATTTTCAAGCCCTGCATCCCCGCTACGTAGGTAGGTAGGTAACTACGTAGGTAGGCCCAGCTCTCCAACCAGACCTCCCAGACTCCCAATTGCGGCTTTGCTGATGCCAAAGCCTAAAGCCTAAGCCTTCTACTGAATGACTTGCTGTTCTGTGAGGAGCTGCTGAATGACTTGCGTGTTCGCGCTGCCCAACTTCGCTTTTCTCCTTGCTCAATACCCTTGCAGGCAGTCCAGCAAACGTGCATATTTTTCACAGTGGGCAAAGAAGTTTCCAGCGGCAAATCCAACTAACGAAAAAGACAACATGAGGTTCCAACCAGGTTTGCAGTAGGCTTCGTGAGACCAATGGCCTCCCTGTTGCGACACAACATTACTTGAGGGACACCCCAAAGGGTCTGCGCACACATCTTTGTGTAAGAGGGTGTAAGAGGTGTTTTGCATAGAATTATGAGCGCACCATGTAAAGCAGTATATTGAATGACCAAAAGCGATACCCAGGTCCACCTCAATCATGTGATTCAAATCGCATTGCTGTAAATCCTGTACACATAGGGATACCTGAGCAATATCCAAAAGTTGTTAAAATGTTGTCTAGATAAGGGGAGCTCCTATCCTCAGTAGATGGCGGGAGAAGGAAGGGTTGCTATGTCAATAGAATAGAATGATTATTTACATGCATACTGTGTATCTCTCTCCCTCTCTTTCTCTAGCCATATCCATGCGCGGTTCACTTTTGTTGTGTTCTCAAGAGAAGGTCTTTAGAAGGATGGACCAAGCGTCCAGGACATTGTCAAGCAATACGGCGAATGTCCAAAAGCGATACTGTACCTAAACACGCCAGTGTTGTAAAACATTCAACTTACAAACGCAGGAGTTACTTCGGCCATGCAGTTGTCACTACCAGTGAAAGTGATCTTAGCAGTGCACAAGACATGAGAAGTGATGGTTTTGCTGGCCGATTATAGATGATAGGCGATGGTTCATCATGCAGGTACAACGATGCAACCCAGCTGGTGCAAAACTGTAATGAGGAGTGAAGGGCTTGGACTGGGAAAGAACTTTGCAATCAAAAAGCTGGAGAAGACGTTGTCAAGTTCCATTTGCACTGCAGCAAGTGCTTTCTTCGTCAAAGGCCATTTATGCAAATTGTAAAGACCAAGGAAGAAGCCATGGGCATTTGGCGCAATCTTGGCAAGTGCTTGGAATGAAGCAATCATCAAGAGGTTCCGCAAATGCACGCCGGAGGGATTTTTGTCAACCTGTCAAATGTTGACACAGGCCAGATCAATGAGCACAAAGGGCTCCAATTAATGAGGGGGTTCAAGAGTGGAAGCAGCGCGAACCGCAGAGTATCTCATGACAGGCGCTTCCAGACACTCTTTGGTGCTGCTTGGATGCCGCCGCATTGAAAAAGCCTGTTTGTGGTGCTGGGCACAAGGGATGTTCTACTGGAGATTACTGGAGTTTATGTCCATGTCGCAACAAAAGATTCAGGGAGGCAGCAGGCGGGCTTTTGCTAGCTGCTAGCAACTGCTCATCGTAAAATTGGTACTGCAAGGGCTGCAGGCTGCAGAGTCTAGCTTTCTTTTCACAGCATGACGCCATGCCATGCCTCTACAAATAGAACAAGCGCAATAAGACAACAAACATAACACAACATGCACAATCATCACAACATTAACAGGTGGTGTTTGTAACTTCCGTTGAAAGAGCAAAGACCTTTCGGACGCCATGGTTCGAACTGGTGACAAACAAGGTGCACAAGACGTCAACTTTGGTGGTTCTTCAGCCAGTCTTTGAAACGTTTTGAAACCTGAATTCTGCAAGGTCCAAAACGAACGATTCGCAACGGCACTCGTGTTTTGGTGCGAGACTTGCCAGAGAAGACACTTGGACATGCACGGCGGAAGGTGTTCAATCAGTGTGAATGTCATGTTTGATGTTGTTGAAGTCTCAAGCCCATTCCCAAGGGTCCGCAAGACATCCCTGCAGTCAGCTTTCGGAGATTTCGGCAATGTAGTACGCATTGACGCTTGGTTGGCACCAACATAACATTGTTTCTTGGGAGACTGACGTGGCTTTGCATCAATAGCCCCGCAATGTTATTGCCTCAGATACAGTATGTGAACTTGCTGAGGAGCTGATGCCAGAGCAGCGAACAGCGTATATTGAGTATGAGGAGCCCTGTGATGCTGAAGACGCTGCACGAGAAATGGATGGAAAGATGGTGGAAAAGTCCAAGGTTCGATTCTTGGCCGAAGCATGAAAAGCAGGTTGAAAGCTTATGAAGGTGTAGCTGTAGCTGTAGCTCACCGTAGGTTTCAGGCTCTGTTAAGCCAGGTGTCGCTCACTTGTATCCATGCAGCTCTGGCTCTCAGGGCTGGGCGGGTGGGCTCTCCGTCTCCGTGCTGCATTCGGGAGCGAATTGAGCGATGGGGGATGACGAATGTTGAGGAGGCCGAAGGTTTTCTTGGTGAGACATTTGAAGAGCTGATCAATAGGAATGCTTCTGAGGATCTTGATCGACCTGATGTTTTTGGGCTGAGCTTGAAACACTTGATCTCGAAAATGTCATCTTTGCCTTCACGTGACATTGAGATAGATGCTGATCACGAGCCCTCGATCGCAGCAGGGAGCGCAGTTGAGCCTGAGCCTGAAGTTCTTCGAGTTAGAGACTCTCAACAGCAGTCTTCAAAACCTGTAAGTGCAGACACTTGGAATGGCACTGTCAGTGCCGCGCACAGCCGCTACAAAGGACCAATTGTTCTTTGCTTTTGCCCTGGGAGACTGGAGCGCTCGGCGATGTTTTGGCCAAGAGCATTCAACCAAAGCTTCCTTCAATTGCATGTTTCATCGAGTCTGCACCGATGCCGGATGTTGAATCCAGCCCGTCAACCAGTGTTTCGTCATGTGTCACATTGGAAGTAGGAGTGTGCTACAAACACGCGATTCGAGATGTCAAAGACATCGCGTACTTCGAGAGCAAGATGCAGTTTTTGACAAAGGCAGTAGGTGTTTGGTTGGATCCAATTTCCTGTAACTGGGAATCGGGAAGGTTCGTCTGTGGGTTCATTGGTATGCCAAGATCTTAGAGCAGACCCGAGCGGTTCGTGTGCCTTCGAAACCTTGATGTCATGCTTTGGGGCGAAGAGCCCAAGTACGGTTATGAAACGTGCTTCAACGATGAGGAGGTACTGCACTTGGCATTGCATGGAGCACGTGGCCGACTGCGACATTTGGTCCTTTTTCATTCATTAAGGGAGGTTTTATTGCGCCGTCCACCTTCTTGGAGAGAGCTCGCTTCTGCAAATGCACTCTCGGATTGGCGTCTCTTGGGTTTTGCAGCAATTGAGAAGCGTGAGAAGAGACCAGCGCGCCAAGCACCAATTCTTGAGATGGAGCACATCCTTCGCCTGCATGAGGTCCCCCAGGTAGGCACAGACTTGGTTGATCGTTTGGACGCAGGTGCTTTTCTGATTTGCATCTATGGAAGGGCCCGGTGGTCCGAGGTGAGGCACATTCAGAAAATTGAGCTAGAGAGGCGCCGCAACGGTGCATTGACCATTTACATCACAGAGCGCAAAACATCCAAAGTAGGTCTTCGAAGAGAACATTCCTTTCGAGGTGTTGTCAGCCACGAGTGGGTAAGCGCATTCCCAGAAGTGTATGCCGCCTGTGGCCTAGAAATCAAAAAGCTACCACTTGCCGGCACCACGCTTGGGTGGCGGATTCGGCGCAAGACCTTTGAGCACTGGAGAAGCGTCCCAATTGCGGTTGAGGCTCCTCCTCAAAAAAATAATGCTGATGAGTATCGCTCGCCGTTCGCTTTCACTTAAGGCAACACTGCTGAATTGGTCAGCAGAAGTTCGAGCAGCGCTAGGACACCGCAGCTCTCCCTTCTGTGGATCTGATGGTGTGTATTCCCGTGAACTTCAGACACAGCCGATTCGTAAGTTGCAAAGGCTTTTGAAGAGTGTTCGGATAGGCCGCCTTGGTGTCTTCTCGGCGCAAGACAGACTGCCCACTGAGGTACATGTACCAAGCAGTGGGCGAAGCAATCGAGGCCATCAATTTAGAGGCAGACGCAGAGAGTGTGTGCCAATTCTTTGGAAGCATTTTGCGCAAGAGCTCGCGCGTTTTAGCTTATAGAATTGGGAGCTCAAGCGAGGGCGGTGACAGCTCGAGCGAAGAGTCAGGTTTCGATACAAACCCTGGTAGCGGGGAAGCAGAAGCCTTCATGGAGTCAGTGCCTGTGGGGCACGAGTTCTTCAGGCATGTCAAGAGTCAAGAGCTCAATTGCGCACGATGCCATCATCGGAGCAAGCAAGACTAGTTGTGGCAGATCTCTGAATCAGAACTTCAAGAGTCTAGAGAGGAGTGGCTGCATTCGTTTCCCCAAGTGCCAAAAGAAAGTGCCTCGCTCAAAGTGGCCAAGGGTCCGTTGAACGAGTCGGAGAGAACTTTTTCTAGGGTGGAGTTTGCGGAGTGCTCTTTCCAAATTTTCTGGTTGGGTTTCAACCTTTTGTGTTTACCTTGTCTTTACTTCTTGCATTGTTTTCACTTGTGGAAACTTTCAGCCTGATGTACTTCCATTTGTGCACTTATTTTGGGAGTGGAACTTGGACACTTTGTTTGATGGAAATCTTTATAATATTCTGGTTTTGCGGAGTGCTGATTAGTGGGGCGCAACACGCTTTCATACAAGAGGCCTTTGGCAGGAGTTTTTCAGAGGAGTTGGAGAAGCAGGCGTTTACTCGGAGTGAGTTGAACACGCGATTTGAGGCTCAATGGCGCAGTGCGTGATTTTTGGTTTTTACGCGCAACGCTTTCCACGCTTGTTCAACATGGATCAAACCGCAACGACGCAGCTTTTGAACTCACCACGCTTTCAGATTTACTAATCCCACTTTTGCGCACAGTGCTTAGAAGAATGGCCAGTATAGTCGATAGCGAGGCCCAACTGGACGCAGGCTCAAGGAGCTGAACTTCGGTGACAGAGAGATCAGCGCGAACGGTGTGAAGACTCTTTCACATCTGGCTTTCGTTTTAGGACAGTCAGACACTCGAACGACGATGCGTCGACATTTCTCCAGAATGCATTGGCCGAGCTCAAACAATCCAGGAGTCAAATTCGATCAACCAGTTGATCTTTGAAGCCCAGACTTTTGCAGTTGCAGTGCTTCGCCAGGGCGTTGAACAGCTTGAAAGATCGATTACACGTGCCGAGAGAGACGACTCGAATGACCGCTGTGAAGCAGAGTTTGAGCGGCGTAGCAGTTGTAGGACAACTGGATCCAGCTCATGTTCTTGTGGAAAAGGCAGCGGCGATTTACGATAAAGTATCCCCTTCCGCGTAAGCAGGGTTCTAGAATCTCGATGTTAAATTTCAATGGATGTTTGATGTTTATGTCGGATGTTCTCGCGAAGGTAAGCGCATCTCGGGAGCTGTTCATATCCCAAACGTTGCGCCAAAGCTTCTTTATAGACAATCAGTGTGTGAAATCAAAAAGCAAGCAAACATGCTTCTCTTGTCTGTTTGCCGCCGTAGATGTGGCGCAGGGGAGGCTGCCACTTGGCACAGGGTGGGCCGGGCAAGATTGGCTTTTAACATCACGTCGCCCCCAAAAGCATAAAGTTAGAGTTGGTTTCTTTCAGTTTGATCTCCAAGAAGATCTTTATTTTTATTTTGTATCAACTTTAACTTTACTGTTTGGCGCCCGGAATTTGCAAAATTCCCTAAGTTTTTTTCCTTTCAGCCGGCGCCGCCGTGAGCTTCTGATGAGATGTTGCAGGCGCGGTTGAATTTAAATTTGCACGCTTGTCAATCGCAAGCGGAAAGGGTACCATTTGTGGAACAGTGGACGAACGTTACGACGGTATTTGATGCATTTAACCTTGTAGAAGCGGTTCAAATTCTTCCCTTTTGCGCGCGCAGATGTCTTTGCCTTCCGTGGAGTTTTGCAGCAGAAACTTGAAACTTGAAATCGGCCTTTCAATGGAATTAGTCCACCTGTCAGGACGTGGAGCTGGAAGATGAGGATGTGTTTGGTGATATGTCCGGGTGAACTGCTGCTGCTATGTCTTCCATGGAGCCTTCGCATTGCGTCAGCCGTGCCCACGATGTCCAAGGCGCGAAACAGGATAGAGGGTCGGTCCAACGGACATGGAGCGTACGGAGTTGAAGCTCCATTACGCTCTGGAGAGAAGGGCATTGCGTTGCAGTTTGGGCGTCTCATGTCCCAGGAGTGGCCGACTTTACTCATTGAAGCACTTCACGGGGACACCCCACAGCAGGGTACCTGCGTGCTACACTCGCACAGTTTGCGCAGTGTGACATGGCCGCATGGTCACGATTGGCGACCACCGCCGCCTCCGGCAACAAGCAGACGGCGCCTATATCCGTTGGGCGAAGCTCTGTTGAATCTTCGCATGGCTCCGCACATGTCGCTCCATCTTGCACCTTTGTCAAAGTCGTCCACCAGCACAACTGACAATCCATGGCGACCGTCGCCTTACACTAAAGGCCAAGGAAAAGACAAAGGAAAGAACAAAGGATTCAATCCCGTCAATGCCAGCATGAGACCGCACAAGGAGAGCCTTTAAGTTTATGCTTCGGATATAGCCGTGCTTCAGGTTGCCCCCGCAAGTCGGCCAAACACGGTGAGAGGTGTGTGAAGGGCTGCCGCTTGTGTTGCGAGCATAGCTGAGAAGCAAAGTCGGTTTTCGCCCATCTCACCAATCTCACCCTGGAATGATTTGCATGTGCTGCAGCTAAACAGTTCGGTCTCGAGAGTAGCCTAGCCACCAAAAAACTTCGTAAGACAGGCACTCTCGCTAGTATGGATGTTCTCACCGCTTTTGCGTTGGAGCCATTTTTGCCTAAGGTCAGATGACTTTCCGCATGGGCTTCCCGGCCTACCCAAGAAGGATACTGAGAGGGCCTTGATGGTGAGGCGCCCGTCCGAGTACTGTCCGATGAGCTCTCGATTGTAGTTGAAAAACACTTGGAACTTAGTCCTGAACAGTTGGCGCTGTGTATGCTAATTAGAGCATCTGGACTGTCCGCCGCTGAGCTTGAGGATTCTGCAAGGCGTGACTCACATGTGCTCCTATACGGAAGAAATTCTGAAGGAAGTTGGACACCCTGATAGTGAAGTGATTGTGACTTCCTGCGACAGGGTTCGAAATTGGTAGGGGAAGTCGAACTGCGCCTGTTTTCAAAAAAACAGCTCACACAGCGAGCCTTTCGAAGGAATCGAGCCACAGTCATAGTGGGCGTGGCTGCGTCCTGTGGCGACGCCGAACTCGATGAAGCCGTCCTGAGCGAGACGCTCCTCGAGATAGAGCGTGGTTGGTCTGAGGAGCCTTTCGACTTGAAGGATCTTGAATCTTGAAGAAGGTGCAGTGATATCGCGCAGGTTCTCTCTCAGACAGGGATCGAAAATTAGGCTTACTTACGATTACTCGGTAAGCGGGGTCAATGGTTGCACCTCCAGTCATAACAATATTGATCTTCACATTATTGACACTTTTGCCTCGGTGATCCGTGAGTTCTTCATGAGGCGCCAGCAGGACGGCGTTGACTCGACCCTGCTTGCAAAAACTTACGATCTTAAGAGCGCGTACAGACAAGTGCCAATTCGTAGAGAGCGTCTGAAGTTCGCCTATTTTTAACGTTTACAATCACAAATTGCGCCAGCCTGAAAATGCTACCAATCGGGGCCACCCATAGCGTGTACAGCTTCCTCAGACTTGCGAGAGCTTTGCGCAGCGTCGCTGCAAAAGCTCTGCATGAACACCAGTTTATGACGATTTCGTATATTATTCTCAGGCCAGCGCACCTGCGAATCAGCGCCCAATGCAGTGGAACTTGCGTTTATGCTCACAGGCTGAGATTTCGCCCGAGAAGGGGAAAAGCGCGCAGTTCTCGACTGTTTGTCATGCCCTGGGTGTCGAGTATTATCTTAGTCGTTCGCCAGAACAAGTTCTTGAAGTAGATATAACACTGAGAAACGCAAACTCAATGTCAAACATCAACTCATCACAAGCTTGGACCGCATCCTTGACTCAAGAAACTGCTGAGAGGTCAATGGCGTTGTATTGCAGACAGCTTCATGCACGGTAGGCTAGGTCGATTGGTCTTGAGCCGTCTCATCGAGCACGCTTGTGGGACCCAATCCAGGATCAGCCAACCACTTGAGCACTTAGGTGGATGCTTGCCCGGATTTGCACCTCTAAGCCTACATCCGTCTGCGCACAGAAACTGAAACTATGCTACATTTACACTGACGCCGCTTACGAGCCAGAGGGCAGAACTGGTGGCCCCGGTGCTCTGGAACGCGCAATCTTTGGTGTGGAATCTTCCTTGATAGCAATGCTCGCGCATTAGCGACAATAATCTATGAGCTTGAATGGCTTGCGTCTGCTTTCGCCTTCAGGTTTTGGAAGAGAGAGAGAGAGAGAGAGACAAAGATCTCGGGAAACTTGGCGGTATGGTTTGGGGATAATGATGCTGCGCGCTTTGCTTTGATCCGTGGCAGCGCCACAGGGGCATTGTTTGCAGAGGCTCTAACGCGTTTCTATCTTGCCAACAAAGCACAGTGCCCTTCGAGCTTCTGGTTTGCTAGAGTTCCGACAGAGAGTAGCCAGCGCAAGCCATAATCCTTCATGGCTTGTCGCCCGCTCCTGTCGGATGAGTGCTGCATTTCAAACAATGCCTTTCCAATCTTCAATGGTTTCCAAAAGAGTATCAGCAAGCACTGGCCCATCCGCTAAGACTGGGGTGAGGACATAGATGTACCCTGTTGCTCTAGAAGAAAAGGCGTGCCCTTCAGTGTTGCGCGTGTGACGCCCAACAAACTCCAGACGGTGAGCTGTAGGTGATCGAGCCGTTTCAGGCTCGGTTAAGCCGGGTGTCACTTGTATCCACGCAGCTCTGGCTCTCAGGTGGGCTCTCCGTGAAGCGAATTGAGCCAACCCCCGCAACCCTGAGTTTGTCTCTTGCTTCGCGCTGCTCACGGCCAGCGCTCAGCGCACTTGCAGAAAGCATTTTGAGCCTAGCGTTGAATGCGTGGCAGACATGTGATGCGGTTTTTAGTTAAAGTTGTGACTGCATTCCTTTCTCACGCTTTGAAAATCGACTCCGGCAAAATTATTCTTGCGATATATTCCTGCGGGGGCCTCTACCCTGGAACAACTTACGACGGGAGGGCCCATCATTTTGCTTCTAGAGCAACAGGGGTCCATGACGCCCTCAGGCCGGGGCTATGGCTATGGCCTAACTGCTGCGGCTGGCTCAAAATCAAAAAATGCTCACAATCATGGGGAACAGGACAGGTGTCACGAGGCTCCTTATGACGCCTTTCGTTTTCAAACCAAAAAAGAGGGCTGTCAGATCTGCGGATCTATGGGAAACGTGGCTCGGGCCATCTCGGGCCAAATGCTCCCCATTGCGTAGGGGTGATCATATCACTTGATTTCCAGGACGGCGAGCCCACGCCGAAACCAGGGCTACTAGGCGCCCCAGCCAAATCTTTCTTGTGGACTCTGAAGCTGTGAGATGTGTGACCTGAAGCTGTAGGAAGCTGTACGATCTGCGCCTGCAAAGGGCAAGTTTGCTTCCTGTTGTAGGTCTCTGCTCCGTAGACTGCTAACTGCTAAACTATTACTATTCCAGGGTCAATCACATCAATCCCGCCCCCAGTCCTTGGGCTTTCCTTTGAAACAGCAAGCAAAAAAGCGACACCAATTTCGGCACTAAATTCCTAAACTGGTCACACATTGTGGGCATCGCTGCGCCGTGCACATCCAATGGCATCCCATTGCCATTGACGTTCCACAATTACTGCGGCTGTCTATTCAAGCATCGATCTTGAATTCGGTAGCAAATCCAACAATGGACAAGATGAGCAGCAGGCGTTGACAGGCGGGTCCTTGCGACGGCCCACCCCGCCCAAGTCAAACCAAAGTCCTGAGTCCCCACACTCGCCAAGCAACAACTGATAGTTAGGTTTGAGTGTGCATCAATGCGTGTTGGGAGCCCTTCCCCGCGTCAAAGTTGCATCGTTTTGAGTTTGGGGTACGCCAGGCCCTGCCCAACCTCCAACGCAATTTCTGCTTGCGCAAACTCCTGGCTAGCCTTAATGGATTTTTCATCCAACGGAAACTTGATTGAGGCCAGGGCCAACGTAAATGACAGGCAAGGGGCAGACCTGTTCCGCCGCAACACCAGTGGGTCAACCTTTGAAGCTCTGCATCCTTCACGCAAGCCGGGTGGGACTGTAGAAGGCTCGACTGTGGCTTGGGAGATCCTGCACGCACAAGACAAGCCAGCGCTTGCAACAGAACGCGCTGAGATCGGAGTCGCACAGCATGCCCTGGCCACTCAGCTTCAGGGTCGCACATCTCACATCAACTCACACCTTCAGATTCCACAAAATTTTTTGGGGGGGCGCCTATCACCCAGGACCCCTGACCTGACAGTTTCTTATTCCCTGGTCTAAGGTCTGCTCCCAAGTTTTATAGATGCTTGCTGCATTGAATCGCGGTGAAAAAGTTTGATTGTGGTTCCTTGCTCGCCGCCTGCGCCTTTTTGCCGGTAAAGAGAACCATGTTGATTTTGCGTCAGACCCTACAAACCAACGACAGGTCGTTCCTTTTGTCAGCTTTTTCGGCTCGTGTTTTGGCTGGTGACATTGTCAGTTGTGATTGGGTTTTCACCGTGAGGCAAAGCAGTAAACGATTTGGTTTCCACACACCATTGGTCAGGCGTTTGACGAAAGACGCCGTTCTGCTTGAATTGGTTCCTAGAGCCAGGGTCATCCACCAACCGCCACTTTTCTGTAGCTGTCAACGCAAACAGACACCGACTACGGGAAGTTGCCTTTGCTTTTGCCCGCCTGTGATGATCACAGAAAGATTGCCTCACAAGGCCGGGCAATTTTTGGGAGCGCAAGAGGGTTGACTGATGAATTGACCGCCGCCTCCGGGAAAACCGCCAGGATGAAGCTGCAGATTTGCGGAAGCTCTAAGATTAGTGCCCCAACAGGGCAAGTTTGCATTCTGTTGTAGGTCGCTGCTCAGTAGACAGTAAACCCACCTCTGGAATTATTTCAGTCCTTGGGCCTTCCTCTGAAACAGCGAGCAAAGAAGCGACACCAAATCCGGCACTAAATTCCAAAACTGGTGGTGTTGTCGGTGGCTCTCCCTTGGATATAGATCATGGAGGCTGAAAGCGCATAGAAACGAAAGGTGTCACCAGGATCGCTGTGACACCTTTCTCTGTTGCATCCTGTCCTGTCAACCTCTGGCGGTGTGATCTAACAGTTCCGAAGTCCGGGTCTGGTCTATTGTCAAGTTTGGTTTCTGGGTCTGGCTTCTTGTGTGGGTTCGCCATCCTGTTTTTCACGTGGGTTTGCTGGTCTGAAAAGTTCAGCCGTTTTGCTGCCTGTTGGATCACTTGATGTGACCGGAAACGAAGAGGAATCAAAACGCAGAAGATCACTGTAGTAAAACTGAACCTGTGTTTTGGAATGTGTGTAAGATCACTTATAGACTGCAAGGCAGACATGGCTGTAAATTATTCCTGAGAGGTGTTCACATATAGATTAATTTTTGGCCAGGTGAAGGTCCACCACCACTGAATAGTAAAAACTCTTCTGGGGCCCCATCCACCCTGGGGCCCCAGATGGTAGGGCCCATGAAAAATGCTTGCCTTTCAGTGTTGTTGTCCAACCAAATGGGAGACAGGCTCTTCTTTTCCGTTCGTTTCCGCAAACTATTGTGCTTCAACATGTTTCAACCGTGTGAACGTTCTTCAAACTAGCCCCGCCATACCCCACTCGTCACCCCACAAAAAGTGAGAAAATAATGTGTCATCATTTTTCAAAAAAAGAAACCAATGAATAAGACCTTTTAAAACATTTTTGAAATCGAAAGAGAATATGCCGACTGCAGACCGGTGAGAAGGGTTTGGGCACGCCGTGCACGTGAGGAACGAAGCTCATGGATGATCGGCCCAGAGCGGCCATGGACCATGCAATTCGAGTTCAAGAAGCGTGGCTGGGCAGCAAGCAAACACTGAATTTCAAAATGCACATCTTTTATGGCAATGTCATTTTTTCATTTTCACATTTCAATACAAGTGCGGACACTGTGAAGGCGTTTTTCCAGTCATTCTCGAGAAACAAGAGAGCTGATTCCTGCGTCGACACTGGACCTATGTAAGGTGTTTGGCTCACCTCGAGTCTCGTGCCGCTGAACATCAACAACGGATTTTTGGTCACTTGCTTAGCGGCTTGCTTACGCATGCCCTTCCTAGCTATACACATTGAGCATCGGTACTTGAGCAGATCACGTTCTTTATTCACCTTGTGCGCTAGGTGACGGGCCAACGAATTCACGAGGCGGTCCTTTTGTTTGGTAGAGCATGGAACCGTGAAGTGAATTTCCAGGCCTTCATCGGAGTCGCAGCCGCCAGCGGTAGTGTGAAACACCAGGCATTGTCAATAGAAAAATGGCATGGCAGAATGGTTGATGCTTCAGCAGAGCAGAGCAACCTCATTTCATGGATGCATTTCCAAGTGTATGTGTTGGTCTTTCAAAATGCGTTTCCGACCTGCGACAAATGACCACAGTACTAGCCATTGATAGAATGTGTGTGTAGACACCGTTCCTTGGTCCTTGGTTCAAAAGAGAGAGTGGGAGTTTGCCTTGCTGTTCAAACATTGTTCTCAAGTATGCCCACCAAAGACAAACTTGTTTCTACCCACAGATTGCAAAACTAAATGATACTAAATGCATCTAAATGCAAGTAACTGTAGTAACTATTGTATTGTGGTTCCATATGCAATAGCGTTTCATGTATGATGGATGTTGTAAGGGTTCATGTTACTAAGTTGTGTGCCTTTGTTTATCTATGTCCTTGTGCGCCGACGACAACAAAGGGTGTCATGGCATCAAAGAAGAAGAAACATAGTAATATGTATTTTTTTGTGACTCCAATTGGATGTCACACTGGTAGCTCCTATCCTACACAAAACTACCTACCAAGGGTCCCTAACCCACCGCGGCCGCACGGTTATTTCCAACCTGGCGTCTAAGAGTCCGCTCTGCCTTGAGCCATCGTTGTGATGGCGTACATGTCATCTGGAAGGTGTTGTCCGTGCTTCGATCGACTGCTGGTTTTCACACCGGTTCTATTTTTCTATTCGAGATGACTCTGTCGCTTGCTTACGAAAGCCTTCTGCCCATCTTTCACCATACTTGCGATGTGCATTGGTGTTCAGGGTGCTTGTCTCATCAAAAATTCGGAACTTTCCTATGGATAGAACTGTTCGAAGAAAACTGGCATCCAGTGGTTTGGTTAGGCAATCGGCTAACATAATAGCAGTAGAAATCCATCTGCATTGAGTATTGCTTTCGGCTTGTTCTTTGATTTGCATAGCTTCTATTGTTGTCCTCCACTCCTGACAATTCGGCACTGCAAGCTTGGTTACAAGATCAAACAGGGACTTGCAATCGGTGATAAGCAGTGCTTTCTTTTGATTGGCTAAGGCTTTCTCTGGTTTCTGCCATTGACATGTGGGGTCATTTACATAGCTCCAGAGGCATCTTAATGTTGGATCCTGATTAGTAAAGGGGGGTCCCTCCCCCTCAAACAAACAGGGAGACCTCTATAATAAACTATCACCAAAACAAATCTGGATTCCTGGTGAGGGATCTTTTGTAATTGATTGTAGTATTCATTTTCCTTTCATAGATTGTATTCAGCTTCCTTTCTCAGGTGCTTTGTAATTGTTCTCAGCAATCCTTTTGCTTTGCAGCCTCAGATCTTCAGCTCAAGAGAAGCCCCAAGCTTTCATTGGCCTCAGGAGCTAAGTAAAGGGAGATTCCATGTGCATTTTTTCCAGTGGAAAAAAACTTTTCACAATAGAGGTCCCAAAAAACAAATTTATTATTGAGGATCAGGTGCCTTCCTGGTCTACTACCTTTAAAATTTGTTTAGGAGCAATGTTGTATAAAGGGTTTAATTGGGGAACTGGTGGTTTTGGTCAGCTGTCAGTTTTGAAGAAGCCTAGAGAAAGCTATATCAGCTAATGAATCATAATCATTGGCCTCAGGAGCCAAGTAAAGGGAGATTCCATGTGCATTTTTCCAGTGGAAAAAACTTTTCACAATAGAGGTACCAAAAACAAATTTATTATTGAGGATCAGGTGCCTTCCTGGTCTACTGCCTTGAAAATTTGTTTAGGAGCCATGTTTTATAAAGGGTTTAATTGGGGAACTGGTGGTTTTTGGTCAGCTGTCAGTTTTGAAGAAGCCTAGAGAAAGCTATATCAGCTAATGAATCATAATCATTGGCCTCAGGAGCTAAGTAAAGGGAGATTCCATGTGCATTTTTCCAGTGGAAAAAAAACTTTTCACAATTGAGGTCCCAAAAACAAATTT